CTGAGTATACGATGCATGTCGAAAGGAAAGAGTGTGCTTATTGCCTAACCATCAACACCACCATCTGTGCTGGATATTGTATGACACGGGTATGTAGTTCATCTCACTTCTTTTGGCTGAAATTAGATAAACCTAGACTCAGTCCATTTCTATCCAGAAAGGAAATGAGATAAATAACAACCTCATTTCCTACATCTAATGGTTATTGGCTCCTTAGAGGCAGAGTCCCCAGGTTATAATATTATATTGATCTATTTAGCACAATTGGTACAGATAATTTCATGATAGTTTTACTTTCAGAATTTATTTAAACCTTATATTGTTCCCATGATCAAGGATAAAAGAGAGGGGTGTGTGTGTGTGTGTGTGTGTGTGTGTGTGTGTGTGATTTTTGTCTCTATAGGATTCAGTGTGGATATGTTGACTTGGTAATGGGGAATGGGACTAAGGAATCCTCCCCAGTCTTATTTGTGTCAAAGGAATATAAGTGAATTAACATTATGCTCCCTTTTCTGTTCTTTCATCAGGATATCAATGGCAAACTGTTTCTTCCCAAATATGCTCTGTCCCAGGATGTTTGTACATATAGAGACTTCATGTACAAGACTGTAGAAATACCAGGATGCCCACGCCATGTTCCTCCCTATTTCTCCTACCCTGTAGCTATAAGCTGTAAGTGTGGCAAGTGTGATACCGACTATAGTGACTGTATACATGAGGCCATCAAGACAAACTACTGTACCAAACCTCGGAAGTCCTATGTGGTGGGATTGTCCATCTAACTTAATAGTGATGTGACTTGCAAGTCAGTTAAATGTGTTCACCTGGAGTAGAATTAATAAAATATCAATGTATTTCACAACACATTGTGTATATTTTGAATACTATTTCATCCAAATCTATACCCACACATGCATTAGAGAGCCTACAGGCTTTCGAAGAAAAGGTGAATGAAAGAGCCTTTTGAGCTCATATGAGGGAGAGTTTCCACATGAAACGGCAGAGTGCAGGTAAAATGGCAAACAGGGATATGAAGTACTAACGAAGGCCAGCCTTGAGCAGGCTTTCTTAACAGAAGCCCATGACATGAGGTTTGTCTTGACATAGAAAATGAATATGGGGATGCTGCCGAGTTATAAGGGTAATGTGATCAGAAGCTGAAGGAACATAGGGCGACACTTGCTTCCAAAAGCTAGAAGCAGGACTGGAGAGGACATAGAGAGTAAAAAATATGTGAAATCTGCAACATAACACTGTATTCTAGTTATTCAAATACACAGGATAGAACTTAACCAAAACTCAATAGACAGTATATTCCATTCTAAAAACTGTTCTCTTTAATTTAATTACTCTGATGGGCCAACTGACTTATGAAAGTTATACCCCAAAAGCCTAGAAAAGAGGCCATGATCATTTTACATGTGGAAGTCTAAATCCTTTGTATGCTTTCAAGTAATAGGAGACACTTTTCAGTATTTATATCAAAAGCAACTTGTGCTGTTTTAGCTTTTGGTGTCCTGAAAAATTAGTATGATTGTGAAAGATTTTAGGGACGGGGGAGAGTGCTAAGGGATTAAATAGCATAGGATCATCCTAAATTCTAATCTAAACCTTCATCAATATTGAAACACTGTTTTCTGGCAAAGGAACTCCGTAAGTGGCTGTTTATTTATTTATTTTTCCTTCCTTAGGTACTCTTTCATGAATTTGGTCTCAATAGATGCGTGAAGTGAGACAGACCTAGTGCCTTGCAGACTTGACCTCAAAAAGATGATTTATCCTATATTTGCCCATTTCTCTCCGTCTAAAGTGCTACCATCAGGGTAAAAATCAATTATCATCAGGGATGGTTGTCTTTGCTGTATCCCACAGTCACTGGATGCATTCAGCTGGGCATCTTGTAAATGCCTACATGCTGACAGTGCCCTGTGTGTGTGTGTGTGTGTGTGTGCGTGCGCGCGCACAGGTGGTGAGGTAGTGTAGATGGATTAGTACCAAGCTCATGCTCTGCCAATGGGGAGGGAATAGTTGAACATTTATATACAAAGTCAGGGATCCACATTATGCTTACCTTAAAATTTGAGGTTGACATCAGCATAGTCTTCAAATATTAATCTGGAGGTTTGAGTTCTCATATCACTTGATAACATGAACACTTAAAGCTGCAGGATTATAACATCTCCTCTAAGAACTGTATATGAAACACAGATCTTTGATTAATGAGTAAAATGTCTAATGTTCAAACCTAACTGGCACTAATCACATATGACTTTCATGGGACCTGAAATTGACAAGACATCTTGGGTCACGAGAGCTCCCCATCCTAGCTGGTGGATGCCATTCTGAACAAGATTTCCTTTTATTAATTTTCACATTTTGATCAAGATCTTTCTTTCAAAGCCTCACTGATCAAGAGTCAAGTTCTTTCTATTTAATGGGTTTGTCCCTTGGTACCAGGAAGGACTTTTCCTGGTTGTCATGTCCTATGTCAGAAGGAAAGGACAGAGCAGTTAGAAACCACTTCAGGCCACATCTGAGCAAGAAGGAAGGTTAACAGGGAGAAACTCTCAGGTACTGTTCCTCTAAAGTCTATCTTTTCAGGGCACCTGGGTGGCTCAGTTGGTTAGGTGTCCCGACTCTTCATTTTGGCTCAGCTCATGATTTCAGGGTCGTGGGATCGAGCCCTGCATCGGGCTCTGTGCTCAGTGGGGAGTCTGCTTGTGATTCTCTCTCCCTCCCCCGCTGCTCTCTCTTTCTCTCAAATAAACAAATCTTAAAAAAAAAAAAATAAAGCCTATTTTTTCAAGGTTTTAAGTGTTGGAATTCACCTTGAAGCATTGAGCCAGCATCACCTTATTGGGTACATGTTTTTGTTTTGTTTTGTTTTAATTTGAGAGAGAGAGTGAGCGAGAGAGCACAAGAAGGGGAGGGTCATAGGGAGAAGCAGACTCCCAGCTGAGCAGGGAGCCCGATGCTGGACTCGATCCCAGGTCTCCAGGTTCATGACCTGAGCTGAAGGCAGTCGCTTAACCAACTGAGCCACCCAGGCGTCCCAGGTACATGGTTTTTAAAAGAAGTTTGACGGTAAAGAAAATACAAAACTTAACATAATAAAAGAAATAACATAACAATTCCAAATTGTATGATGGTTTTAAACCAGGACTCTAGGTGTGAAAATAGCCAACTGAAATATTTATTGGCATTTATCCCAATTATGGGGAGAAAGGTTCTCCCTGTGAAGGCAAACCTGGAGTCATGCATGCCTCCTAGAAGTCTCTGCTTAAAGTGACCATGAAAGCAGATTAGTGAATACTGCAGGAGCGTACTGAAAGAATTAACCTAGTGCATTTGGGAAGACAGAGTGCAGGTATAAACATGAAGAAATAGTTGATGAACTTTTTGAAAAATAGCAAAACTTCAAAGATGTTTTAAAATACTATTTATCTCAAAAGAACTGTTTGGAACCAAATGTGTTATTGACAATACAACCTGTAAGTTTGCAAATTCAGAAACCATAAATCTGGGTAAAAATCCAAAGTCAGTTAATAGTTTAGATAAAAGAAGACTTTTGTGAATTCTGAAAATTCTAACCCTTCAGAAAAATCAAGTGAAAATTAATGTGTCCCAGGATCGTAATTAGGTTGTTTCTGAAAGGCCATAATCAAAAGACTAGGTTCTCCTCTTTTGCAAGGGCTTGGGAAATGCAGACAAGAATATGGTCTTTCCATGGAAGAAGCAGAGAGAAGAAGCAACAGGGAGAAAAAGGTATATAGTCCTGTCCAGACATCTTGGAAAAGCTGTCTCATCAGATGTGTCTGCTTCGATTCCAGGAAATCTTTACTTTCAGGTCACCAGATGGTGTGCAGTCAGGCTTTGGTGCTTTCTTTAGATGAATCATGTGAATCCAAGAGTCTATTCCCTGGAGTTTGGCCGCACAAAGGTGGTTAGAATTCCTGATAATTATGGGCCTGTCCTGCGAGGTCAAAGAGTCTTTCTGGAGGTGTCTTTTCCAACAGATGAAATCCCCAGGTTGTAAAGTATGATGCTTAAGGTCATTGTCTCCTGGGGGTGTACTTCCTCATTCAGGGACCCGGAGCGATTGACAACAGGGCTGGAGTAGGCCAGCAGGTGGAGTGGCAGGTTGCAGGGTGCAGCACAGCCACAGGACACGGAGTACCTGCTGGACATGGGCAGGTTCATGCTTTCTTCTTCAGCATCTGGGTCTCGAGGCAGGGGCTACTCCTCCTGGAAGGGTGTGATTTTGATGATGGAGTAGGGGTTGACTCTCATTGGGACCACAAATGTAGTGCATTCTACTGGAGTGTCCAAATCTGTTCCCATCCCAATTTTTACCTCCTAGCCAGGACTCCTGCCTGTCATCCCTCCAAGTGCCTCTCACCCTGTACCACCCCCACCCACATTTTCAATTCAAATGATGGAGGTGGGCATGCTATGTAGGCTCAACCAACCCTGACTGATTGAGGGATAGGCATGTGAACTAATCTCTTCCAGTAGGAGTCAGTCTCAGGGCTTTTATTATAACTGTTGGACAAAGAGGAATGTTTGGCCTATTGGGATTTGTAAGCTGTGAGCCTAGAGCCACTGCTGGCCATCTTTGGCATCTCCTGGAAACAGCCAGCCTGAGAATAAAGCCAACCCAGAGGACAGCAAGAGAGAGTGAAGGAGAGAGACCTAATGATATCATTGAGTCTAATCAGAAGCTGGCTTCAACTCTAAATGAAATTGTAGTTTTTTTTATTATATTATGTTAATCACCATACATTACATCATTAGTTTTTGATGCAGTGTTCCATGATTCATTGTTTGCATGTAACACCCAGTGCTCCATGCAGAACGTGCCCTCTTTAATACCCATCACCAGGCTAATCCATCCTCCCATCCCCCTCCCCTCTAGAACCCTCAGTTTGTTTCTCAGAGTCCATAGTCTCTTATGGTTCGTCTCCCCCTCCGATTCCCCCCCCCCTTTTATTTTTCCCCTCCTGCTATCTTCTTCTTTTATTTATTTATTTTTAACATATAATGTATTATTTGTTTCAGAGGTTCAGGTCTGTGATTCAACAGTCTTACTGAAATTGTAACTTTTAATCGTAACTGCTTAAGCTAGTCCGAGTTGGGTTTCTGACACTTGCAACTGAAAAGTACTGACTGATTCAGCATCTTTCCCCTTAGTTTTTTTTTTTTTTTTTTAAACAAGCTGTGGCCAGTTTTATTAAAGGAAAATTTTGCGTGATTTACTCTTCACCAGTCTGTTCTGGCATGCTTCTAATGATATCAGAATCACCTGGATCAACGATAGCCAGTGTGCGTACTCTGTAGTATTTCCCACATGCTGTGCCCAATTCAATATTATTGCCACTGTAGTGATGGACACCAGTTTTGGCCCACATGGCGTAGTATTCTATTTCAGATGTCCTCAAGGCTGGGCAGTTGTTCACGAGGATGACCAGTTCCACTTTGCCATGTCTGATCATTTTCAGAGTCTGCTTGTACCCCAGCACATACTTTCCACTTTTCATAACAAGCTGGGGCCTGGAGTTGATCGACTCCAGTGACTTTTCCATCTTCTTTGTGGCCACCATCTTCCTGCCTTAGTTGCGGGACGGCCCCAACCAAAAGCAGCCGCCAAAATGCCGGGAGAGAGAAAGGAAAGACTTTCCCCTTAGTTTTAAAAGATCCCATCCCCCATTTCCTCCAGGACTTCGCTGTTTTCTTTTTTCTCTTCTCTTGCTTCCTCTTTATTGGCTTTTTCTCCTCAGCAAGAATCATTCTTCAATCTCTTCCTAAATAAAAATGCAAAAGCAAAAACAACTAAATCTTCTTGTGAACCTGTGCAACCTTTTGTTTATTTGCTCCTCTCTCTTTGAATTCTTATTCCAGTTTGTGCGTGTGTGTGTGTAAAAATCCCATCTTAATCTGTTTGGACGGCTATAACAAAATACCACAGACTGGGTAGCTTATAAACAACAGAAACATGGGGCGCCTGGGTGGCTCAGCCATTTAGCATCTGCCTTCAGCTCAGGTCACGATCCCAGGGTCCTGGGATCGAGCCCTGCATCGGGCACCCTGCTCAGTGGGAAGCCTGCTTCTCCCTCTCCCACTCCCCCTGCTTGTGTTCCTTCTCTCGCTGTGTCTCTCTCTCTGTCAAAAAAGAAATAAAAATCTTAAAAAAAAATAAACAACAGAAACTATTTTGGAGGCTGGAAATTTCAAGGTCATGGTGCTCAGCGTGGTTGTGTTCCATTGAGAGATTTTTTTCCTAGTTCATAATTGGTCCTTCTCACTGTGTCCTCATTTGGTGGAAGGGCCAAGAGATCTCTGTGGGGCCTCTTTTATAAGAACACTAATCCCATTTATGGGGGCTCTACTCTCATGACCTAAGAATCTCCAAAAGACCTCACCTCCTAATACCATTACATTGGGCATTTGGATTTCAACACATGAATTTTAAGGAGACATAAACATTCAGACTATAACAAGCCTCCTACACTGACCATTTATTTCCTCACTTCTCATTTTCTTCTCAACCTACTATGATTTGACTTCCACTCCCATCTTCCCTTGAAACTGTTTCCAGTGGGGGTTGACAATGACTTACTAATAGTCCAATATACAGGTCCTTATCTTCTCTGACCACTGTGTTACCCTAGAAGGCCCAGTGGAGGTCATATATCTGGATTCATAACATAATACATCTATGGCATTTATCATCAGTCCTAATGAGGCCGAAGTCCACATTTTCTCTTTTCATGCTTTTTCTTGCTACCCTTCTCTATGATGAGTAGAAATCCATGCTATGGTCTAGCAGGCAACTGTAATGTAGTTCTGAACTGTACTTCTTCTGAAAATGTAATTTTGCTTTGTGCTATAGGAGTGAAATTTGCACATTTTGTGAAAGAAGGGCTAGTATTCTGATAATCTTATGTATTCTATTGACCCTTGGACCCTGTTAAATGTAGAACATATGAGAAACTACCCATTTCAATAAAAGATGATTTAGATGGCAGCTACTGAAGGAGTGCGGGTAGCTGATAGAGACCCTCCAGCCTGAGATGGAGGAATGGATGGGGAGTATAGAACTGTTTCGGGCTTTAAACTTTACTGGAGTAGAGGATTCTAGTTTTTGAAAACTTCTCACTGAGGTCTTTAATGTGAAAGGCTACCCATATTGTTCAAATATGGGCATTTCACTTTTATGTTGCAGATTCCTAAACTATAGTTCCAGCTCGGACTCCTTTCCTGAGCTTCAGGGTATGTATCCAGTGCCTGATTATGTTTCTTCTTGGATGTCCTATAGTCATCTCCAGCTTGCTTCATCACTGCAGTCTGCTTTTTCTCCTGGGCACCACCATCCTTCAGCTGTCAGGAAACCTGGGAATGATTCCAGGTTCCTCTTTCCCTCAATTGCCCCTATATCTGTCTACTTCTTGGTAGGAATCCCAGTATGTTAGTTAGAAATCCTCATGAAATCCTTTGGCCTTTGCCCTCCAATCATTGTTCATACTAAAGCTACGTGATTTTTAAAAGGTTCAAATTTGATTTCGTAACTCATTGTTTAAAATTTTTGCTGTGATGGCCGTACAAAGATAAGACTCCTTGGTACAGTTTAACGGGGCCCTTCATCTCCCCAGTTCTTGACATGTCCTCTTGGAATGCTTCCATGCTGTCTGTTTCAGGGTCTTCTTGATGTCGTTACCTCAGTGATCCACTTTTCTTCTCTGCTGCTATTACTTTTTATTTGGATAATTTGTATGAGTTCTTCAGGACTCAGTTTAGAGATCTCAAAATTCAGAAAATCTCTCTCCCCTGATCAGCCTCTCCAAGATAGAGAGGGTCTACTTCTGGTTAATGAATATCATAGTGCTTACCTCATGGGAATTATATTTGCCCGTTTTTGTCTCAGTCGAAGCTCCTTGAAGGCAGACTTCTCTTATTCATCTTAGCATATCACTATCTTCTAAAGAGTTTTTTCAAATGTATAAAATAGTAGTCCTCAAACAAAGTAAACAAAAATCTAATATTAGAGTGGGTTGCATCTTATAAGGCAGAGCAGGCCCAGAGGAAAATATAGGGACTCAGACTATGGCTATTGAATTAAAATAGAATTGGGAAATATATCAAAAGTTATTCATTAATTCAACAAATGAATGTGTTCAAATAGGTATTTGGTGTCATGCAGAAGTATCTTCAGTTGTGCATGATGATGCATATTTGATTTATAATTAACAGAAACTCTCATCAATATAATAATTGTAACAATTTAGATAATATTCATTCATTGCCAGGTTTGCTACCTCATAGTTGGTTATTTCTTTTAATTTAAATTTCTTCTATTTAATATAAGTAAAACCAACATTAAATTATACAAGAAAAAAAACAATGAAAACAAATCCCAAAGCTTCAGATGGGTTTTTGGCACATTAGCTAAAAATTTCATGAAATCAGCACAGATTTTGCTTTGCAGCATTCAGGACATATTACTTCTATACTTCATGCTTTCCATATCCCCAGGAGAGAGCCATTGGAATAGTGGTTTCCTGGGACGTATTTAACTTTTTTGACAGTGAGGATATCAACAAAATGATTAATAACATTTTGCATTAGTGTAGTCTTTTTACCTTTCAATGGATGCCTACAGATAATAACTTTCAGGTACACTTTATAGGAAAAAATAGTCATGTTGAAAGAAAGTAGAAACTTTTTGTGCCCCTTAAAATATACCTTAATATAAATTTGATTTTGACAAGTCCAAATTAAGATGATGCAGTTAATTGGCTGGCTTAGGGGCCCAGGAATGCTCCCTCATAGGGGTGGGTAAAATAGGGTTGCTGAAATCAGGGGCTGGTGGCCAAAGGGGATGTCAATGGAGAGGTGAACCAGGAAAGTTCCTGAACTCCCAAGGGTGCCTCTTCCTTTTAATCTTTGATACTGACTTGGGAAGATACGCTATCTCCTTCACTGCCTTTTTCCCACAAGCCTCGTTTTCATCAAGTAAACCTATTAACGGGGCACACGGGGAAAGGAGAGCAACTCTCTTGGATGACTGTGCGGGGGACTACACTGGTCCCTGTACCAGTGTGTGGCTTTACAGATTGAACCCTGGACAACAAAGGAGCTATTCTGGATAGTATAGTTTGGATGAGACAATGTTAATTGAAATCTATTTGCACAAAATTCCTTAGGGTTGCTTTTAAGTCTAGCTCCTCATAGTCACACTACAGAAGGGTTACTATTCTTTCCTTTTTTTTTTTTTAACCATATGGTTTGGTAGTTGGACATTTAGATAAATTGTGTAAAGATGTGTATAAAGATATATTAGAATTTTGGGGCACCTGGGTGACTCAGTCGTTAAGGGCCTGTCTTCGGCTCAGCTCATGATCCCAGGGGCCTGGCATCGAGCCCCGCATGGGGCTCCCTGCTCCGCGGGAAGCCTGCTTCTCCCTCTCCCACTCTCCCTGTTTGTGTTCCCTCTCTTGCTGTGTCTCCTCTGTCAAATAAATAAATAAAATCTTTTTAAAAATCCCTTTTAAAAAAGATACAATAGAATTTTAAGAGAAATCAAACAAGCAATTCCAGTACATAGAAAATTTAATTTGAAATAACTTAAAATAGTTCATCAAGAAATTTTAATTCAGTGCCTTGGTACCAGATGCTTAAGAATATATTTGGGTCTGATCTCAAATCAGTTCAGGTAAACAGATATAACCAAAAATTTATATATATGTGTGTGTATGTATATATATATATATGTACCCATATATGTATACATGAATATGTCTGTATTCACACACATTCGTGCATACATATATTCAAGTTATATATGTATATATATTCAAGAGTTATATATTCAAGATACATAGATTCAAGACACATATAGATTCAAGATATATAGGAATTCAAGATATATATAGATTTACGATATATAAAAATCTGCCCTCACTCAGAGGTGGAATTCTCTAATTTTACTCATGGCACAGATTTTGGAAAAACTACTCCCCAAAGGGACACATTAACCATAGATGGAACAGATCTCCACTTCCCCACTTTTAAGTATTGTAGTCTTCTTAAGGTTGTTAATCAGGTATAGAATGAAACTCAGTGTGTTTGAATCAGAGACGATTCTGAGGTGGAAGAAACGAATGCACTTGGGCCTGTCTTCAGGTAGAGGATGAACTACAGCCATGAAGAGAGATGGGCTCTTTGTTCTTTGCTTAAAAGGTTATATTTCTCACCTACTGGAGTATAAACATCTATTTCATGAAGTGATTTTGTTAAAATAAACTTTTCTTTAGCTATAGACACAGTGAAGTAGCCATGTACAATTAAATTTTTAGCTTGCTTCCAATCTGACTTTTTTTTTTTCCAGAAAAGCTTCCTCCAAAGTTCGTAGCCGTAGCAAGTATGGCAGGAGAAGTGTGGTTCTCTATGCCAATAAGACTATTTGTAGTGGTTAAGTCTTTTCAGCAAAACGTTTTGTAAAAGTTTCTTGGGAGTGCACGCTTTCCTTTAGTGCATCCCCAAAGACTTGTGTTCTCACAGAAACTTACATGGTTTCCAAAGTCCCCAGTACTTTCACTTTTGTGTGGCCTTTTAAAGTGTAATAAAAAACCCCCTCTATGATCTACTAAATGTACTAAGTTGTTGAAAATTGACAAAGATATAAGTTTAGATTCTAAATTTGGGTTTACCTACCTAAATTGAAGCATCAAGACCATAAAGAATATGAAAATTTTATTTTTATAGGAGATTTACACAGAAAAAAATATTTCTGTTCTGTGGGTGTAAGTATTTTAATTTTCTTGGCTTGTCTCTGCTATGTGCACCCAACTAGTAGATGCTTTTCTTTCTTTTGGTTTGGCCAAGGATGCTTATGATATAATATTTGAATTAGGAAGAATTTTGTTTTATCTTAAGGGGTGAAAACTGTAGGTCAAAATCTATGAAGAATAATTCTCTGGTGAATAAGAAAAATACAAAAAATTAGGAAAATATGTAAACTCAAGTTATGAGGTATTTCAAAGATGCAGTGCCAGTAAAAATTCTCTTTCCCACTATTTGCAACTGCCAGATCTCTTGCTTTAGTCTTTCTATCTGTACATTTGGAGAAACATGGAAAAATTTGAGATAAAAGCCCTTTTGTTCATGGAGGGCTGCTGTAGTTCAGAGCAGAGTCAGGAAAAAGAAAGTTATAAAGTAATATTTAAATGTATTTATATAAGAACAAAAAATTTCCTTAAAAAGTTACTAAAAGGTATTTTTTTAAAAGTCCTAAAAACACTCACTTTTATAGGGCACATGATTGTCTGTGTGACCACTCCTTTCAGAGAGAGTTTTTTGTTTTTAAATACTAGGAAAGTATGACTTATTCAAATTAGATTTTCCATGCTATATTTAGTTTTACAGATGTGTTTAGTTCTAAAACTGTGTTTTACTGTGTTCTGGGTAGAGTATGTATATAAAAAAATCCCAGGAAACCCTTACACCTAACTCAGATGTAGTCAATTTTAGCACTACACCATCATCTCTCAAGTCCTGTAACTTATTGCTTCCGTTAAGCAGAAATCCTGAATTCTCTGTATCTAACTTTCTATGGCTAGAATCTGAGAAAATGACCCATTATCATTTCTTCTGAATAGCCAAGTTTTTAAAGTTTATCAAAGTTTGATGATCTTTTTCTGAGAGTCAAATAGGTTGTTCCTCTGATATAATAAGAACCAGGAATTTCCAGCAAACAGATTTCATTATGTACAATGCATACACCAGAAACACACAGACCACACGTGAATCTCTGTCAACATACACAGCATTCACTCAAGGGGTAAACGAATAATGAGCCAAACATACATACATGTGCAAATGTACAATTAACAGCATATTATTTTAGATCCTAATGTCCTTTGAATGTTAAAAATGAGCCAGGAGACAGTTCCGGTGACAGCCGTATGAAGGCTCTAGATTGCAATTTTCATGTAGAAGTAGCTTCATATCATATCTCGTGAGGTTCGTATTGCGCAGCAAAGAACCATGCTGAATATCATGCCAAAGATCTGAAACAGAAGGAACCACTTGTTAATGACTTCCAAATGATAGAAATTGATTTTTAAAAAGTCAGCAAACTGCGTGGGTGTCTAACAAATAATTATTACCAATAATTACTGGCTATAATGGCATTTTTATATATACTACTTAATTATGGCTGATGGCTAAAGACTTCCATATTAACCTGTCAACTGTTAGTTGTTTACGCTTTGGTCTAAATAGTTTCCTGTTGTTGGAAAAGCTCTGAAATTTTGAAACAGTGACCACAGATTACAAAGTATAGCATCTCTTCACGTTTCCTGCTCCATTTTAAGGTACAAATGATGCTTCACTATTTAACTCAACAGTTTTCCCAAAGCATAAACTGAGGTGTTGGAACTATGGTATTCTGACGTCTTCTGCCTCTTGGATAATTCTTTGAAAAGCCAAATACCGGGCAAAACCAATAGCGACTGGTATGGTTTGAATAGAAGGATGTCAAAAGATCTTTCTTGTTCTCAATCATTTCCCCTATAATTTCACAGAGCCTATAGAATGTAATCTGCGGGTGCGATGTTTATAAACTACTGTCGATGTTTGTTTAAAGAAATCTGTACCATAACCCTATGATTCTCTCCTTAATCCTATCCTACATCAGGCTAGAATCTATAAATGTTAAATTTAAAAAGCCATGTATTATCTGCTCTTATGGAAGGGCAGAGGTAGGCTTGAGAGAACAGCCTGGAGCAGGGCTCTCCGCTTCTGGCTGCCAGAACTCAGTACCATTGTATGGCAGGGGAGACACCTAATGGACATTTGGCTAACTGATCACACTGTGCAACTCCTACCTTAAGAAGAAAGGAATTACAGAAGGAACGCTGGGGGTGCTGATCCAAGATGACCAATAGAGAGCCTTCCCCCTTCAGTGTGGTTGTCAGGTTGGATGCAACCCTTGCTTCGTCCTGGTTGTACTGTAAAGGGACCCCTTGGAAAGGACCATTTCAGCACTGTCCTGGCACTGTCAGGAGTCAGGGGTGACTGCCTCTAGGACGCTCGCTCACGGAGACTGTAGAATTGTCAGGAGTGTCTCTGCGATACCTCTATTATGTGGCCCATTTTTAAATCTCCCGCCTCAAGATCGTCCTCAGGAAGCCACAGAACGGCAACCAGGCTAGCCCCAGAGCAGGTGAGGAGGGCCCGAGAGATGTCCCTGGATTGCGGGGTGCTCAGCATACCCCTGGGTGCTGCCAGTGCCAGTGCCTTGGTTTTCCTTGTAATGCCCTTTGCCTCCGCCTTAGCTGATCCCCTGAATTAATCTACCTCGAGAGCTAGAGGGTAGGTCCTACCTTAGCATTAGCTGTTGTCGCTCAAGCCCTGGACAGTGGAAATCACCTCTTCACCGGCCTGACCCAAATCCTGCCTCCCTCCAACTTATCTCCACACGGCAACACAGGTCCTTCTAGCCCTTGGTGGCTTCCTACTACCTTAAGGATAAAGCCCGGTCTCTCAAAAGGGCACACAGAGACCACGGTTATGTGGACACTCACACCCTCCTCACGGTCATCTCTTGCTGCTTCGATCACACCCCTTTGGCCCCTGTCGATTCTTGCACGCGCTTGTACTTTGGCGGCCCGGAGCCATCTGCCCCTACCTGGGTGTACGATGCTTCACACTTCTGCATACGTTACTCCCTTTATCTGGATTCTGGGCTTGGGAACACTCAGATTATGTACAGAGCTAGCGTTCATTGAGTGCTATCTTCCAGACACTTTATATGAGTTCATTCCTACAAATACTTTATATGTATTACCCCATTTTATCTTCACAACAATCTCATGAGGTGGGTACATTAAAATCTTCATTTTACAGATGAGGGAATTGAGGGATAGAGAAATTAAGAAACTTTTCCATGATCCCAGGGCCCGGGTGTAGCGCAGCCAGGAGGTGAACCCAGACAGCATGATGCCAGAGCTCGCACTATTAATCACTACGCTGAGCTACTTCTGCAAATCAAAGGTGAGAGAGATTAACCTGGCAGGCTATTTTAAATTTCTAACAGTAAGGAGCGACCCAGAATTGGAAATGACTTGTCTAGTTTAAGCTTGCTGGCCTTAATGTGGGAAGTTATTGCAATGATCAACTCAAGGTCATAATTAGGTTAAAGGTAAAATTGGTATCATATTTTAGAGAACTGAGTATTGCTATATCAAATGAGCTTTGTTCTTAGAAGATGTCCTGTCAACAAACGTCTGTCTTTTACGAGAAATCTCTTCTCAGATACTGCCATATCACACTTGAAGACAAATAAGATGCAAAGGCTTCTTAGAAAGCAAAAAAGGTAAGTTCTAGAACTTTCTCACCGTAAGACCTGCAATCCCAATACCAACAATTCCGATGAGCTGGAGCTTAACACTGATTATGGCCTCAATTTCATCAATGCAATTCTGTTTTGGAAAAAAAAAAAAAAGGAATAACAAACGATGGTATCTGTGAATCATCACTCTGATCCAACCCTCTCCTCTACAGAGCATCCTATGAAAGTTAATCCATGTCAGCTTCTGCTCACATTTAAACCACTTCTCTTAGCACCTTTCTCATAACCTTAAAGCAAAAATGTGTATTGGGGAAAAAATACAATCCTCTCTTTTTGGTGGAATGTTCCTATTTAGGCCAACGACTGCTTCAGAACCCTGAAACCTGGCTGGAGGAAGCTATTCTAGGACCTGAAGCATTTAAAAATTTGGGGCAACCTCTTGCTTTCAGCATATAAAAATAAGTAAAATATCCCCCAAATAATAGTCCCTTGCTTTTGTACTGTCATTAATAATTTAAAAGACTTTCTACATACTCGGTCCAATTTATTATGGAAGGTAGGTATTACCTAGTAAGGCTTAAAAGTCTGTACAGGTTCAGGGCGCCTGGGTGGCTCAGTTGGTTAAGCGACTGCCTTCGGCTCAGGTCATGATCCTGGAGTCCCGGGATCGAGCCCCACATCGGGCTCCCTGCTCAGCAGGGAGTCTGTTTCTCCCTCTGACCCTCCTCCCTCTCATGCTCTCTGTCTCTCATTCTCTCTCTCGTAAATAAATAAAATCTTAAAAAAAAAAAAAGTCTGTACAGGTTCAAATTAAACAAAAGAAAACTGAATGTTAGCAGTTAGAGGACCATTCCTTTCTATGATGGCTGGGCTGGGTGGGTCTCTCTCCTCTCATCTGCCCCATAGACACTTGTGCAGGGCAGGTTCAAAGAATGGGGGATAATTGGACAGGGAGCAGTACGGATCACTTGTAATTATAAATAGTTTCTCCAGCTTCTATTTGGAATCCTCTTAAGTACAGAGGTATGCCCTCTACGCAATTTTGTCTTTAGGCTGCCCAGGGCCTTTTATTTGTCACTAGTCAACTCCCTTTAACACTCACATAAGCTATATGAAACCCTTACCACTATTCTTATGTCTCCTCTCATACTGCATTCATTCATTCATTCATTCATTCATTCATTCATTCATTCATTCATTCAACAAACAGCTCTTGAGCATCTACCTTGCATCAGGCCGTCACTGGAATGGTGTGGTAGATATGGAGATAAGACATGATTTCTTCTGCCCTTAGGGAGTTCACAGTTTAGAAAAGGATACAGACCCACACAAAAATAATACATTATAATACATTCTGGTACAAGTTTGAGAACCACTGCACCAGAGAGTGGCTCTCTCACTGGAAAAAATGGGGGTCAACCTCTAGAAATCCTCCAACCTTCTTCTCCTTCACCTATAAACTTACGTGCTCCATTCAGGGCCAGGCACTGTTGTAGGCAGTGAGCATGCAAAGTCAACAAGGCAGCACTGCTCCTTACTTCCTTCTCGCTCATCAAACCACAGAAGTGCCCTTCTCTTTTGAAGGTGAACCCCTTTACTAGAGCCGGGTCTCATTGCCTCTCATGGCCTCAGGAAGCCTGTGATGTCAGTTATCTTCTTGTCTTCCTATACATTTAGCCTCTACTTCTCCATTGACATTTCCACTCATCGTATAATGCCATGCCCGTGTTCTTCAGTCTAAAACAGTACCCTCTACTATTGTCCTCCTCTACCTCTGCCCATATCCCCCCTTGCTTTCACACCCAGCTTTTTGTGAAAAAACTAACATGTATTGGTTTCCTTCACTGTAGAAGAAATATGTGTTTACTGTTGAAATTTGGGAAATTCAGTAGTTCCCCCCCTTATCTGCGGTTTTGCTTTTGCAGTTTGTTACCCATGATGAACCACGGGTCTGGAAGCAGATGATCCCCCTAACATATTGTTAGGTCGTTAGTAGCCCAATGACCTAGTAATCTCATCATTTTATCATCTTGCATCATCACAAGAACAAGGGTAGGTACGGTATGGCAAGATATTTTGAGTGAGAAAGAGATCATGTTCATATAACTTTTATGACAGTATGTGATTATGCTTGTTTTATTTTATTATTAGTTACTGTTCATGTCTTACGGTGCCTAATTTATGAGTTAAAGTTTATCATAGGTATGGATATATAGGAAAAAAGACAGTATATTTGGGGTTTGGTACTATTTGTGTTTCAGCCACCAACTGGGGTCTTGCAGCATATCCCCTACAGATAAGGGGGAACTACTGCAGATTAAAAAAAAGAAAATAAGACATATTTGCATTCTTACACTAAAGATAATCACTAACACTGTTGGTGTATTCTTTTTCTTTCTTTCTTTTTTTTTAAGATTTTATTTTTCTGAAGTAATCTCTACACCCAACGTGGGGCTTGAATTTACAACCCAGAGATCAGGAGTTCATGCTCTACCAACTGAGCCAGCCAGCCACCCCTATTGGTATATTCTTTTTTTTTTTTTTTTAAAGATTTTATTTACTTATTTGAGAGAGAGTGAGAGAGAGCATGAGCAGGGGGGAAGGAGAGGGAGAGGGGCAAGCTGACTCCCTGCTGAGCATGGAGCTCGATGTGGGGCTCATCCCAGGACATTGAGACCATGACCTGAGCTGAAGTCAGATGCTCAACTGACTGAACCACGCAGGTGCCCCTGGTGTATTCTTAAACACAAACACACACTTAATTCGTTCTTTATATCCAACTATGTGCTTTTTAGACTTAAAACTATGACTTCAAAATTACTTTCTTTAAAAATTCTTTGAAATAGTGGCTTTTAATGGTTGTAAAACAATCATATGATAGTATATAATTTAGACAATCCCCTATTGTTACATATTAATGGCCTATTCAGTATTTTATTCTTATGAAAAACACTGCAATGATACCATATCTCTGATTTCTTTTCCTTAAAATAAATTGAGGAGTGGAATTTCTGAATCAGAGGGCATGAACATACTTAACTCACTAGTCTTTTTAAATTTCTTTTTAAATTTTAATTCCAGTTACTTAACATACAGTGTTTAATATTAGTTTCAGGTGTATAATATAGTAATTAACAGTGCCATACATTACCCTATGCTCATCACAAGTGCACTCCTTAATCCCATTACCTATTGAACCCATCCCCCCATCCCCTTCTCTCTGGTAATCATCAGTTTGTTCTCTATAGTTAAGAGTCTGTTTCTTGGTTTGTCTCTTTTTTTCCCCCTTTTGCTCTTTTGTTTTGTTTCTTAAATTTCACATATGAATAAAATCATATGGTATTTGTCTTTCTCTGACTTCTTTCGCTTAGCATTATACTCTCCAGCTCCATCTATGTCATTGCAAATGGGAAGATTTCATTTTTTAATGGTTGAATGATATTCCAGTGTGTGTGTGTGTGTGTGTATACACATAATATCCTCTGTATCCATTCCTCAGTCGATGGACACTTGCGCTACTTTCATATTTTGGCTTTTGTTGATAATGCTGCTATAAACATCGGGGTGCATGTATCACTTTGAATTAGTGTTCTTGTTTTCTCTGGGTTAATACCCAGTAGTGCGATTGCTAGATCATAAGGTAGTTCTATTTTTAACTATGTGAGGAGCTTCCATAATGTTTTCCATAGTGGCTGCACAAGTTTGCATTCACACCAACAGTGCATGAGGGTTCCTTTTTCTTCACATCCTCACCAACACCTGTTCTTTCTTGTGTTGTTTATTTTAGCCATTCTGAGAGGTGTGAGGTGGTATCTCATTGTAGTTTTGACTTGCATTCCCCTCATGATAAGTGATGTTGAGCATTTTTTCATGTGCCTGTTGACCATCCGTATATCTTCTTTGGAGAAATGTCTGTTCATGTCTTCTACCTATTTTTTAATTGGATTATTTGGTTTTTTTGGGTGTTGAGTTTTGTAAGTTCTTTATATATTTTGGATACTAACCCTTTATCAGATATGTCACTTGCAAATATCTTCTCCCATTCTGTAGGTTGCCTTTTAGTTTTGTTGATTGTTTCCTTTGCTGTGCAGAAACTTTTTATTTTGATGATGTCCCAATAGTTTATTTTTGCTTTTGTTTTCCATGCCTCAAGTTGGCCATAGCAACATATTTCCAGATATGTCTCTTGAGGCACGGAAAACAAAAGCAAAGCTGCCTGTGCTCTCTTCTAGGATTTTTTATAGTTTCATGTCTCACATTTAGGTCTTTAATACATTTTGAGTTTATTTTTGTGTATGGTTTAAGTAAGTGGTCCAGTTTCATTCTTTTGCATATTGCTGTCCAGTTTTCCTAACACCAGTTGTTGAAGAGACTTTTTCCCATTGGATATTCTTTCCTGTTTTGTTGAAGATTAATTGGCCTTTGGGTTGTGGGTTTATTTCTGGATTCCTTATTCTGTTCTATTGATCTATGTGTCTGTTTTTGTGCAGGTTTTTCACCTCTTTGGTTAGGTTTATTTCTAGGTATCTTGTTATTTTGGGTGCAATTATAAATGGGATTGTTTTCTTAATTTCTCTTTCTGCTGCTTCATTATTGGTGTGTAGAAATGCAACAGATTTCTGTACACTGATTTTGTATCCTGAGACTTTATTGAATTTGTTTATCAGTTCTAGCAGTTTTTTTGGTGGAGACTTTAAGGTTTTTCTATATATAGTATCATGTTGTTTGCAAATAATGAATGTTTTACTTCTTACTGATTTGGATGCCTTTTTTTTTAAGATTTTATTTATTTATTTGAGAGAGAGAGAATGAGAGAGAGCATATGAGAGGGGTTAGGGTCAGAGGGAGAAGCAGACTCTCCGCCAAGCAGGGAGCCCGATGCGGGACTCCATCCAGGGACTCCAGGATCATGACCTGAGCCGAAGGCAGTCACTTAACCAACTGAGCCACCCAGGCACCCGATTTGGATGCCTTTTATTTCTTGTTGTCTGATTGCTGTGGCTAGGACTTCCAGTACTATTTTGAATAAAAGTGGTGAGAGTGGACATGCTTTTCTTGTTCCTTTATGTTTTTTATTAACTGTTTTATGTATTTAAGTGTTCCCTTGTTGGAAGCATAAATATTTACAAT